TTGAACCCTATGACCCTATGTACTAAAGAAAACTAATGGGAAATTAAAAAAACAAAAAGTTTAGATGGACACGTAGGCAAGTTTGAATTTGCTCTTTGTAGGCTTCGTTGCCTTTTCTCATTTATATTAGGTTTTTTGACCGTGCTTTTTAGGGGCACAACTTAAGAATTTATTTATTATATTTTTAAATTAATTTATATAATTTTTATATAAATTAATTATAAAATAATATATTTATTATATTATTAGAATCCACGTTTAACAAATCCTTTATATGAATATTGTTCATGATAAATTCGTTTGTAAAACGGATACTGGCCGTGCTTGTTTGCGTCATCCTCCTAGAATTTTAAGCTCAAACAAAAGGTCCCTAAATTAATTTCTTTTTTATAGCTTGATTCAAATGGTAAAATATTTCTAAAGCAACACAGTGACTTTGATCTCAAATAGTTTACTCATACAAAACATGTTTATTATGAGATTAATTAAAAAGAGTAACTAGAAAGATGGACTTAGACTCTATATATAGGTTAACTATTGTGACATTTAAATATAAGATTTTACAATATTTTGATATAATTTTAATTATTTGATCAATGTCTTATTATCATTTATAGTTCACTTAGTCTTTCTTTTCCACTTTAGTTGTGGCGTTACTCCTAACATATTTTATAGATAGATGATGGTGAAATTGTGCTCAAACTAGACAAGCATTTTCCTTGTTAGATGTGAGGATAGGCCAAATATGCTTTATATATTGCTCCGCCTTAATCAGGAAGCTACTTTTGGAGCTTTTGTTTTACACCCATGAAAACAAGGGAGAGAGCGAGAGAGAAAAGTAATTTGAAATCAAAAACTTTTTCTTCACACTTAATTAAAACCATGTGTATTTGAACTTACTATCAAAATCATGTGGATATTTTTGTACAAACAAAACATCATCTCTAATAGTACTGTACATGTGCTGCCATTGCACATTGCCGCCCTCAACTTTGATAAATTTTTGTTTTATGTTGGAAGAACATTAGATAATTGCCAATGTAAGATCTATTTAAGATAAATTATATACTAATTAATTAATACCACAATCATATCGTATCTCAGACAATCTTATCTATGTTTAGAAAATAAAATTATCAAATTTGAAATCTCACAAGGTTCATGCTGCAACAAAAAAAAAAAAAATGAATGTTCATGCGTTGATAAATATAACCCTTTTACTTGGATGGATTAATTGTATTAGTTATGGCATGCTTTTCATCAAATTGAAGAAAAACAAACTCTATCATGCACAAATTGACACAAGATATTCCTGAATATTACAAACCCAAAGAATATTACTATTCTTATTTTAATTGGATCTTACATGATCTCAGTGGAGGTGGTGGTAGCCTAGTCGGACATCACATAAGGACACTAAAGCAAGTGCTGGAGGATGTGGATGAATTATCTCCCTCACCCATATTCTACTTTTCTTTCTATTCATTTAGCTCCTACTTTTTATGCCTTCCCTCTTTCCTCTGCATTCTTCCCAAAGAACAAGCTCTGCATTAACATATGAAATGTGTTCTCTATCATACAATGCTTTTTTGATTCTGCACCTTTCACCTGCCCCTCTATGCAATAAAATACACATCAAAGACAGGCCCTTTCCCAATAAGTGAATGTAGTGGACCCCATCTTCATCAAATTGCCCAAAGCCATGATGTCAATACTTTACTAACCCTTATCTGATCTGGATGATGATGCCTAAGGCAGATGGGCCTCTTTCATGCACCCCATATATCATACCCATGTCATATATATGCTAATGATGACCATCCTATTGGTTAACGTTTCTATGGGTCAGGTGACCAATAATACCTAATTTTCTATACAAAAACAAGCAATATTTTCACAAGACGTATTCTAGAGATAACTTAGTCCAACTGGTATAATTTATACCCCACTTAACTTTCTTGACCACTGTTTTTGACACCAAGCACCACCTGTTAATGCCAAATGCTCGTGATAGTAATTTACAATGGAATTTTTTGGTTTTTTTGGAGAAAATTCACCTTATTTTAACTTCAAGATGCCTACTAGATACCCAGATATCTGGCAAATATGCTACTGCAAGAAACACTCAATTATTTAAAATAATAAATATATACCCAAAGCTAGCTATCAACATGGTTGTGCAAATTCTAGTGGACAAGTTAAGAAACTAGAGGTACATAGTTGTGTACACATCTTATGTCAATATGGGGCCAATTGCTGATGTTTTAGATGGATAAGATATGGCTTCTCACTTCTCATAGACCATTAATTGATGTTTTTGTGTCTCTTCAAGAAATGCCAAACTAGTTTAAAATTTTTCCTTATGATCTCTACCTAAAATTGTCTGTGGGATGGGGTCAGTATGGAAGAGAACAATTAGTTATGGAACACAAGTTGGGGTGTTGGACTGTTTGGACTGGAGGGTCCTCCTTAAAGGGAAAGCCTTTTGGATTTGTATAATGCATACAGATATCGAATAGTCCAAAATTCTTGCGTGTCCCATTATTTTGATTTGGATGCATGCCTTTTGGGTTCTATGAAATCACTTGGGATATTATTTGAAGGCAATGTCTGACCAAGAAGAGAACTGAAAGAGCCATCACAAGAAATTGTCCCATTTTGAGTTTAGTGGGTCAAGATTACCCCTAAATAATCTATATATCAAACTTGCTTGATTAAACATCAATAATGTTGACATCTTGAGCTATAAATTAACGCATTCATCTTTTTATCATAAATGTTAATTACTTTTATAACGAAGTTTTTTACGCATTCATTGTAGTTTTAATGTCGTATAACTATTTAATAATAATTTGACATATCTTTCATAAAAAAAAAAATAATTTGACATATCATCAAAAGTGATATTTATAAATAAGTAAGAAAGTAATCTCGTTATTATTATTATTTAGCTTATTATACTGCAAACCTAATACAACGATTGTATGTTATTAGCTGATTGTATTGTAGGTTTCTTAGCTTATTATACTGCAAACCTAATATAATGATTGTATGTTATTAGCTTATTGTATTGTAGGTTTCTTTCTCCGTTCTACTTTTGGCTGCCATTAACATGATATCTGTTCTTACCATCTGAAGGAAGAAAAATATCAATATAATTTTCTTTGACTTTTTGATGAGCAGATCTTCTCGGGATCAGTTAAGTTTTCAGTTGGCTTAATAAATGGGAATAAAGAATCAGTTGTTTTTTCAAGCCAAACCCTATTCATCCATTCATTGCTTCGCTTGTAAGGAAAACAGAGCCCTGTTAAATCTCAAGACAAGGGGAGCAAAATGGAGCAGATGGTAAGGCAGAAAAATTAAATTCAGGACCTGAAGTCAACTCTAACTTTAGTTATGGGGTGATCAAAAGTCAGAAGTACTTTGGTTCTTCATAAAGAAGAGTGAGGTAGTTTCCTAGGTAAAAATGTTTGATAAATTCTTTGATTGAAGGTGGAATATTTTGAACAAAAGGGGAAACAACTTGAGACATTCAATTATTTTATTATTATAATAATAATTATTATTATTATTATTTTGGACATCTCCATTAGTTGTATATATATTGAGG